TGGAGCAAAACTAGCTCTAAGGAGAAAACATACAGAGAGTTACATACAAAAAATAATTAAGACCTCAAACTAGCAACCAGATTCAACTACCAGATGTGCGGGTAAAGGTGTGTGTTAAGATGATTCCAGCTCTTTCTCCTGGGGAAGATGTAAATACTTTTGCATCTTATCATAACTGAAGGAACAGAGTTTAAAAAAGCAACACTCTTAATATATAAAAATCAATATCTTAAATTGGACACTGCACTAGAAACAAAATAAGGATACATTTAATTAAAACTAAATTAGGTAAGAAAGGAAAACAATGGAACATGAAACTTTTGGGATAAATTTAAGTAATGAGAGGATAGGAGTCATAAAATAAACCATTATAGTAAATATAATACTAGTAGACTTAGTAGCTGGTGAGCAATTTTTAGAGTGGAAGGGGAAAGTTGCTTAATTAGATACTAGCTAAAGAAATGTACTTTAGGTAGAAAGGCACAGGTGGGTTTAAAGTTTTTAAAATAATAGGAAAAGAGGCTCTACACAAATTTTTTTTGTTTGCCCTATTGCAATCATTCTACTATACTATCTCATATAGTCATGTGAAATAGTAATTTTGGTAATAATTCACTCCACATTTTCTCTGAGTATACTTTCATGTGAGGTATTTTTCTCTCATGGAAACCCAGTTTCACAAAACTGATTTATTTGAAAAAGTAACATTTTTCATTTTATTAAACTCTCCAGTTGGGATTTTGGATTTGTGTATCTTTTTTCTTTTTTTCTGCTGATCTTTGCCTTCTCTCTGTCTGTGCTACTATTAGGAGTATACATGAATAAGATTTGTGTGTCTTAAAGATTAATTGACCTTTTAATCATTATACAACTTTGCTTTTCATTTCTATCGATATTTCTTGCCTTAACTTCTAATGTGTTTGATATTAACATAGCCACACCACTTTCTCTTGTTTACATTTGCCCTGTATGGTTTTTGATCTCATCCTCTTATTTTCAATTGCTCTATTACACTGAAATGCTTGCCTTGTACTAAAAGTTTAAAATTGGTTCTGAAGGTAAGGATGCCCACTTTCACCACTTCTATTCAACATAGTAGTGGAAGCCCTAGACAGAGCAATCAGGTAAGAAAAAGAAAGAGTATCCAACTTGGAAAAGAAGAAATAAAACTATCTCTGTTTTCTGATGGTATAATCTTATATCCAGAAAATCTTAAAGATTTCTGTAAAAGACTTCTGCCTTTGGTAAGTGAATTCAGTAAAGTTTAATATTTAGCAAATGATGTCAAATATATCTACAAGGAGAACTATAAAACACTGAAGAAAGAACTTGTAGAGGACACAAACGCATGGAGAAACATCCCACGCTCATGGACTGGAAGAACCAACATTAAAATAACCATAATACCCAAAGCAATCAACAGAGTCAATGTAATAAAACTTGGATAAAATTTTATATGTGCCAAATTTTGGATAACTGTGCCAATGTTTTTTTTCCAGGATATAACTCTGAAAGATACTTATCTTAATACTTTTTATAAAAGAAAATGATGTTATAATTTCCTTGTTGAATGTAAACATTTTAAGGTTTTCAAAAATCTTATAAGCATGAATCAGCTCGATACCTGGTGGATTCTAAATTAGGGACACTAGTCTAATCAAATATACTCATCAAGTAATGGGAATTACTGTTGTGGTTAGGGAGATGTAAGTTGAGGATCTTAGAATCTGACTCCTTTTCTCACAGTTCTCTTACCACAGGGCCAACTCTTTAGATCTTTTTGCATGCTCGGGCAAAAATAACATAGTCAATGTCTTTCCTACTATTGCTCTTGACACAGGTGAAGTGATTAGGTTCATCCACCTCGAATACACTGAGGTTCTGTGTATTTGTGCTTGTGTGTAGGACAGGTGATCTCAGTGTACTTCTCAGTTGAATACTTCTGGCAAAGAGTTCCACTGACTTCATCTATATGTGTTTGCATTTCTGCCTGCACAAGGATGCCACTAACTTCTGGTTAGGCCTTTTTTTTTTTTTTTAAGGGAGCCTGAAACAGAGATCTAGAGTTCTGGAGTGCTGGCCTTGTTTTACTAAAGTTCAGAACAGAGCTTTGGACTGAGATATAGACTCTTGATCTACAGAGTGATTGTGTTCTAAGACCCATTTTAATCTGGCGTATACATATGTTCATAAGATTAAGCAGGGATTTGAGACAAAGTCTTAGTTAGAAGTTTCTGGAAGCAGATTAAAAATATATTACAGTAGTATATGTTTAATAGGATTCTAATAATCAGAGCCATCTAATTAATTTCAAGGTCATGATCCCAATACTGAGACTGTAATTTAAAGCCAGAATGTCAGAACATAGGCATGAGAGGTGTTTAAATATGTCCTATGGTGCAAATTGATGTGAGAAGATGGGCAGATTTTGATCCTATTTGAAGCAGTTGCTCAGTATCAGTGGCTATCTTTCTTTTATTTCAAGGGAAATATTCCCCGCCTTATACATCCAAGGCAAGAGAATATTATTTTTTCACTCAGCGGAATTTCAAAGCTTCTGATGTTCATTACTATTACCATTGCTTTGCCTTTATTTGTAAATATAACACTTAAGACTGACATATGAAGAAAACTAGAGTAATGCTACCTTGTTTAATCTCTTCTCCTACTCCTATGTCTGCATCAGTTTTGCATATAGGTATCATTAATTTTTCTTGTTTTAACTTAGGTATTATACAGTATACTGTTCAGCTGAATAGTTAATTTAAAACTTATTTAATCCCATTTTGCAAATATATCATATATAATAGCTACATTCACGTTGGTTTTGATTATGAATATTTAAGAGAATGTCTTGTACAGGTTTCCTAATTCAGATATCTCTTATGTGATTTCAGTACGTGAAAGCTCTATCATGGATGCTCAACCAGGTCATGTTGATAATAATATGTTCTTCAAAGTTGTGGAAAGATAACTCCAATTTGATCTCATCTTTTTTCTCCTTATCAGGACATACTATCTTACATAAACTGGCACAAATTATGGTATACAAAGTCTATTCCATATATTAAGAATTGTTTAGGCAACTTAATTTTTAAGGTCAGTAAAGCAATTAAAAAGTATAAACATTGATACACTAAACATGCTTTTGTAGAAAGAGAGAGAAAGAGACCTGTGTCAGCTCATATTCTTCCAAGTAGAACATCTTTTCTCATTTCGCCCCCAACCACTATTACACTACAGCCTGAATGTCAAAGTAGTGTAGTGAATTCAACCTGACTTGAAATCAGAAATGTAGCTTCATCATATCCTACCTATAATATATTGGCCAATGTACTCAATCTTTTTCTTTCTATATATTAATACACTTAAAATATTTACAGGATGAGTGAGGGTATTATTCAAGACATTTACAGAGAGTTGGACATATCATTGGCAGTTCAAGAGGGGCAGTTATTTTCAAATTTAAACCAACAGTAATAATTTGGAAGGAGGTCTTACTGTTATTTCAAAACCCACTTTTAATATCCAAAATAAGTAATTCCTGAGTTTGTAATTTAATATGAGGTTTTTCAAAAACTCTTCTTTGATAATTTGGACTTTGTTTTTTATGTTTGTTAGCCTGTAGAAGTAATTCTTTATTTCAGTTACAGTAATTAAGAGAGAATGATCAGTGGATAATTGTTTTCCTTGTTTTTCTTTGTTGATAAGCAGTGGAATACTTTCAATATTTTAACAGCTACTTGCCACTAGCATCAAACTGTAACTTCTCTAATTTTTGAATATTTTCTTCAATTATTCCTTTGATCATAATTTCAATACTTATTCCTATTTGTAGTTCTTAATTTTTTTTCTATTTCTGCTGGTTGGGTAGCTAATTATCTTCTTAAATTTTTCAATTACCTTTTGTGTTAATGTCAATAGTTGTCTTATCTGCACTTAAGTTTTAGTGTTCAAATTTGCTCTTATGCATCTATTCTGATTTTAAGCCTATAATAAGTGACTTTATGTTTACATTTGTTTTAAATTAAACACATACCTTTTAAGTGAAGTTCCTCTCTCATATAACATAAAGAAATAACTACTATATCTTACAAGTAATTGATTTTGAAGATGTTTCCATTTCTTCAATTCTGATTAATCTTCACTCCTGTTGATATCCTCCTTTCTGAATTATTTTAATTGGCCTGGAATGTGTAATTTGTTTGTTTGTTTACTTTGAGTTGGAGTCTCACTCTGATGCCAAGACTGGAGTGCAGTGGCATGATCATGGCTCACTGCACCCTTGACTTCCTGGGCTTAGGCTATCCTTTTGTAGACTTCTGAGTAGCTGGAACTATAGGCATGTGCTATCAGGCCAGGCTAATTTTGTGTGTGTGTGTGTGTGTGTGTGTGTGTGGTTGTGTGTGTGTGTGTGTGTGTGTGTGTATGTGTGTACATGGATACGAGATCTCACACTGTTGCTCAGGTTGGTCTTGAATTCTTAGACTCAAGTAATCCTCCTGCCTTGTTCTCCCAAAGTGCTGTAGTTACAGGTCTCAGTCACTTCACATAGCTGATTTATTTTTATTATATTTCTGCTGTTGGTTTCTACTTTTTGTTTTGATTCTTGGACTTAAAATATTAATTTTTATAACTTTACATTACAGAAAGAAATAGTACTATCTCTACACAAATTAACTTGTGCATAACTTATATACCTTTAAGTGTTACTATTTTCTTTTTTATTTTCCTAGAAGAATAAAGAAAAGACTAGGTCAGAAGTAAAGAAAAACTTAATTTCTTGAAATAATATTTCTTAGTTTCACAGAAAACACCATGTATCAACTTGATTTGAAAGAATAAGGAGTTTGATAAAGATGAAATCAGGACGCATTGTTAAATATTGAAAAGGTTAATCTGACTTAATTGTAGGCAGGAAGACATGAAATAAGTTAGAAGCCATAGGACACTATCCATGGAGCTTTCTTCTTTCAATTTGCTTGAATTCATTAAAACTTCTATTTCTTTGAGAGAAATACAATCCTCTTCACAGAGTCATGGAAAGCTTGCTTCACCTGCTTGTTCCTCAAGGTGTAAATGAAAGGGTTCAACAAGGGAGCCACAGAAGTAGTGAGAACTGAAACTCCCTTATTTATGGCCACTTCATCCTTTGCTGAGGACTTGATATAGATGAAGATGCAGCTTCCATAGGCGATGGACACCACAGTCATGTGGGATGAACAGGTGGAAAAGGCCTTTTTCCTTTGCTGAACTGAAGGGAATCTAAGAATTGTTCTGACTATGTACGAGTAGGACAGGATCACACAGACGAGGGTAATAATAAGCGTGAATATAGCCACAAGTATAACCATCTGCTCTATTACCCAGGTGTCTGAACATGAGATCTTTAGGAGGGGACCTGCATCACAGCTAAAATGATCGATGGCATTGGAGTCACAGAATTCAAGCTGGAGGCCCAAGCTAAGTGGTGGGACAATGATCATCAAACCGGCCACCCAACAGCCAAAGACTAAAAAGGCACACACCCTGTTGTTCATGATGATCATATAATGAAGGGGCTTACAGATGGCCACATAGCGGTCATAGGACATGGCTGCCAAGAGAAAAAATTCTGTGGCTCCAAAGAGAATAACAAAGAATATTTGACTTGCACAAGCATTGTAGGTAATGGTATTGTCCCCAGTTGATATACTGTACAGGAATCTAGGAATGCAGACTGTGGTAAATGAGACTTCTAAGAAGGAAAAATTTCTGAGGAAAAAGTACATAGGAGTTTTAAGGTGCTGATCTACCAACGTGAGGGTGATAACAGTCAGGTTCCCCGTTACACTCAACATATAGGTGAGAAATAGAAAGATAAAAAGCAGAATTTGCAGTTGTGGGTCATCGGTCAGTCCCATCAGGATAAAAGTTGTTATGACTGTGTGATTTCTCATCACTGACTTTTATCATTTATCTGATTCTCGTGTAAAAATCAAGATTTATGTGGAGATAAATATTTGAATCCTATAGTAAAAGACTGTGTGTAAACAAACCAGCTTATATTTATTTTCTCCTTTTACAGCATTTTCACAATGTTGCCACAATCCAATAATCTTTCTGAATTTTACATATGCTGTTTACATATGAACAGTAGATGCTTCCTTAAGAATTCATGGTTTTGTAAAACCATTCAATTTTCCTTTACCATTTCTTGCCCTTCAGAATATACAAATGTAGTTGATTGTAATTCATGAATTAATTAGATTTACAAATAGGTTAGAGAATAATGATGTCATTTCATAGTAGCTTAAAAGTTCTTTGTCCGAGACATGCTAAGGATGTAGAACATATCCAGATGATTTAGAGCATCAGGTCTCTTAAATTCTTATTATCCATCGACTGTTTTAAGGAAAAGATGCATTCATCCTGAAAAACAAACAATATGTGACACTGGACCCTAAGCCTTTCCTTGTTCTTTATATTCTTCTTTGCTGGTACTCCTGACACTCAAATGTACCTTTAGATGGTTTGATTTACAATTATTTTATCCACAGTGTGAGAAAAAGTTGCACTCTAGGTATTTACAAAAGAACTATTCTCACATGCTTTCATTTGATAGTCAATTAATTGACTGCAGTTCCTTTTCTCTCAAAGTCCCAGAAGCTAATCTACATCTAATATCACTAAATATAGTCTTTTAGGCTGCATCTTTTCATGTTTTTAATTCCTTCAAAAAGACATTAGTGTCTCCTTCTCATCTCACCCCTGCTCAATTTGTGTTTTAACCCTCTGTATCCTGACTTCCACTCCTGCAGCTTTCCAAATACCCAAAAGGACTTCATTGCTGTTGCAGTTAAGGACACACAGTTTTTATCTTGACTAGTATTGCCATAGAATTTAGAAAAAATAGTTCAATCATCTTTAAATGGGTTTCATGCCATCATTCTGATATTCCTCCTAGATGCAGACCTCTCTTTTTTTAGTCTCCTTTCTCTTTATCTGTGAGATATTGGTATTCCCCAATAGTCTATCTTCAGGCCTCTCATTTCTTGTTTTCTTTTTGTCATTCTTGCTCTCAACTTCCTGAGGGTGATTTTCCCCAGTCCAATGGATTTGATCATCATTTATGTGATGCATTCCAAAGACCAGATTTAGTCCCCATAAAAGCATTGGAAAGTGTACAACACAAGCTGCACGTTCCACGTACACCTCGCTTACTATGTTCTCAAAGTAAAATCATACTCCTTCTCCAAGCCTTGTCTTCTACCAGTGTTAACAATCTCTTGATATAGATTAATAACTTTGGGGTGGCCTGCAAGACTCTTCATTGACAGGACCTTCCTTGGTATTCCCATTTCAGCACTTGAAATTTTCTTACCTTACCTTCTCATGAGTTAAATTCCACCAACACTGACTACTTGCAATTTTTATATTTTGTGCATGCTCATTCCCCTGCACAGGCTAATCTTTTGACCAATGATTGTTGATTTGCCCTTTGGGGTTCTGCTGAGGCATTAGTTCTTCCAGGAAATTTGTATTTACCCACACAGAGAATGTAAAGTTATGTTCTTGTGTTTTTTTCCAAGTACCTGTTACTTTCTCTTTTCTGGAATAGATAAGCTTATAAAAACATAGAAAAAATATAAACACAGTGCAAAATATAATAAAAAGCAAAATCAAGTCTGTAATCCCAGCACTTTGGGAGGCCGAGGTAAGGGGATTGCCTGAGCCCACGGGTTTGAGAACAACCTGGGAAACTTGGCAAGCCCTCATCTCTACAATAAATCAAAAACTTAGCTGGGCATGGTGGCACGTGCCTGTAGTTCTGGCTACCTGGAAGGCTGAGGTGGAAGGATCGCGTGAGCCCAGCAGGTTGACGCTGGGGTGGCTGTGAGTGTACCACCGTACTCCAACCTAGATGACAGAGTGAGACTCTGACTCAAAAAACAAAAATAAAAATAAAAAGTAGAGACAATATATCATATATCCTTGTTTTCTTTTATGTTTGATATATATAGGGTTCTTAGCAAATTTATAGAAGAAATAAAACAAAATTGTCTATGTACCTAGAGTAAGGTATATTTCTTAATGTTCATTCCTGTCAGTTGACTCAAAGTTCTTATTTTCATATCTATACTGTCATTTTGAGACAATCTTCAACAAAAGGTCTAATATTTCTACTTCAAAACTCGGCACATCTATTTCTAGTGCCTATTCCAGAGTTTTTATTTGGTGTGTGAATTGCTCTTACTTTACCCTTAATATAACTCCCTATCTGCTGCTGTTTACTTCTTTCTGATCATCACTCCCTTAACCTCTTATTTCTTAGGTGTTTAGAATTTTTTAATTCTTTTTTATGAATTTTTTTCTATACACTATTTTCTGTTTTTTTTACTCTCTGCTTTCCTTTGTTTTTTAAGACTGAAACTACCTACTGTGTGCCTAAGGATTTATTCCTTTTCTAAGAGAAATTTTTAATTCTCTTATTTCACAAAAGTCAGATGGGGCTTGCATAAATTACATGTACGGATACATCCAAAATGTCCAAGAAGGTCCTGACATTCTTAAGATCTTTGTATCTTTAGGTTGACTTGAAAATAAACTCTATGAAGAGGAACTTTGTCCTTGCTCTGTTGTATTTTCTGTTGCTTCAGAATCTTTGCCCAACATAGCATGTGTATAGCAATTTTTGAATGAATGGGCTAATGTACATTTAATATTATTTTAACTTAATTTGTATTTTTTAAAATCAACTTTTAAAAAGTTTCAAGTAATACTGATAGCTAAAAGGCTCACACTGCAATGTCAAGAAAATTAGAATTTTTCTAATTTTCTGCTATATCCAATGACTATTACCAAGGTAGAACCTTCATCTTTGTTTAAATAATTTATAGTCCTACCTATATCTTAAAATCCATTTCTTTCATATGATACTTCCAGTACATTTATTTACTGATATAACTTGAAAATAATTAATGAAATACCTTTTCATATTCATCATATTAATTCCACTAATCTTTTTGTATACATATTGAAAGGTTCAATTGGCTGTCCATTACTCTGTCCTGTCTTAAACCAACCTTAGTGAACAGTGCTTTTAGAGGAACAAAAATACTTAGCATAGAGATAAATTACTAAATCTATGTTTTGTAAGGGAGAAATATAATCTGGAAGAATTATAGAGTATGAAAAACGTCTTTGCCTGGCCAGGACTCTTCCTCTTTTCTCTGTCTCCCCGTATATCAGTCCAGCTAAAACATCACAGCATTCTAAATTTCTTATGACAGCACTTTTGATGCAAAGAACACAATTCTACAATATCTTTTTTTTTTTTTTGGCAGTAAATTGAAATAAGATGCAGGATGAAGTAAAGGACACATGGGTAGAAAAAGTTTAGTTTCTTTTTAAACTTCTCTTTTCTGGTGATTCTGCTACTCCCAGAGATGTAATCATTATTAAAATTTTTTGTTGCATTGGAATTCTCAGGAATTTGGAATAAGACACAGTGAAAAAATAGTGTGGCTACTAAGCTTTCTCAAATGTTCTAAAAAATTACTCTTTTTCTTTTTCTTTTTTTTTTGAGTTGGCGTCTCACTCTGTCACCCAGACTGGAGTGCAATGGCCGCTCCCGGCCACTGCAGCCTCGACCTGCTGGGCTCTGGCGATCCTGCTGCCTCAGCCTTCCAAGTAGCTGGAACTACAGGCGTGCACTACCACGTCCAGCTGATTTTTTTTTATTTATTGTAGAGATGAGGTCTTGCCAAATTGCCGAGGCGGGTCTCGAACCCACGGGCTCAGGCAATTCACTCACCTCACCCTCCCAAAGGCGCGGGATTACAGGCTGAGCCACCGAGCCCGGCTTTTATGTTTTCTAAATGGACAAATAAACAGTAATAATTTTGAGAATACTAGGAAATTCAGAACACAATTAAAAGATGAGAAAAAATATTTGCTTACTAAATATCTGATAAGGGGTTAATATCCAAAATATGTAAGAAAAAATATATAACAAACAAAATAGGGGCCATTGCCTTGTTAGACTCTGTTGTGGCCACGTGCTCTTTGAGCTATGGCTGTTGCCATGCTTCCTGGCTTTGGTGACCCTCCCCTACCTTGTGGAGGTGAATATTCTCTCTCTCCTTCTAACTTACTTTTAAATAAACTACATTTTCTTATAAAAATATTCAATTTAAAAATGGGCAAAAAACTTGAATAGCAATCTCTCCAAAGGAGACATGCATACAAATGACTAACAGGCACTGTATATAAAAAGGTGCTCAACATCAATAATCAGGAAAATGTAAACTAAACAACAATGAGATATAATCTCATACTTATTAGGGTAGTTATTCCATAAAAATAAAACAAAAAGCAAACCAAAGCAAAAATATAACTTTGGATGAGTATATTGGAAAATAGAAACCCTTGTACTCTGTTGATGGAAATGTAAAATGGTGCAGCAACCATGGAAAACAGTATAAACAGCTTATCAAAAATTTAACAATAGAAATACTATATGGTCTAGTAATCTCATCTCTGAGTATAAATGCAAAAGAATAGAAATAAGGATCTCAAGGAACTGCCTGCACTCCCATGTTCATTGAGCATTATTCCCAATAGCCAAGATATGGAAGTAACACAAATGTCCACCAACAGATGAATGAATAAAGAAAATGTGGCATATATATATATACAATAAAATATTTTTGAGCTTTAAAAGGAAGAAAACCTTGCAATATATGACCACATAAAAGATGTTATGCTAAGTGAAATGAGTCAATTAAAGATGGACAGATACTGCATACTTCCACCTATTTAAAGTGTCTGAAATAGTCAAACTCATAGAGGCAGACAGAGTCTTGGTTGCCAAAGGATAAAGGAATGGGAAGATGAGGAGCTGTTGCCCAGTAGTTATAAAATTTCTGTTATGCAAGATTCTGTTATGCAAGATGCT